GTCAGAGTATTTCCAATCAGCCTGAATTGTTTTGGATACACTAAGAAGCAGAAGAATCAAACCTGAAAACCTGTTTGAAAACAGTCATTTTGCTTTGCAATTTATTTGAATTTGCTAGTGGCTCAGAAACGATATACTTCACTTACATATTTAAATTTGAATAAAAAGAGCATTGGTTGCTGAAAGAAAAGACTTGTCCAATAACCAATATGCAACACTGTTTTTTAATTATTGCTTTATTTCTGCTGTTTGACCAACCCAGTCTCATTGGAAGTATGTAACACTGCCTACAGTAATAATTATTTGTGTGAATAAGAACTGCCTCTGGTGTACCACCTGGAAACTGCAGTAAACTGTATATATAGGTACGTTTTTTTTATTCTCGCATTTTTACAGAAATTAAGTCAGAGTATTTCCAATGAGCCTGGATTGTTTTGGATACACTAAGAAGTAGAAGAATCAAACCTGAAAACCTGTTTGAAAACAGTCATTTTGCTTTGCAATTTATTTGAATTTGCTAGTGGCTCAGAAATGATATACTTCACTTACATATTTAAATTTGAATAAAAAGAGCATTGGTTGCTGAAAGAAAAGATGTGTTTTATTCTAAATCTTTGCATTGTTTTACCTGCTTGCTGTCAGATAGCTGCAAGTTTCCCCGTCTGATGAGTTTATTGTAGAGGTGGACCTCTCCACAATACAACAGCTGCCCTCTCTTTCTCTGTCTCTCTGACTCTCTCTATCTTTCTGAGAATTCTGACAGTTTGTTTTGCAATGCAATAATAGAGGAAACCTATAACAAACTCTCTGTGGAGAGAGGGATGAGGCAGAAAGGAAAACATAGAGGCAGAGGGAGCAAGAGAGAGAATATCAGTCCTTCTCCAGCTCTCCTCTCCTCTGACAGGTTATTGATTTAAGCATTTTGTCGGCGCAGTGAGCTTGTCTCGCCTGCCTCTAAGTTTTGCTGCACATAAAGTCAAAGTCGGCACATAGCAGTGAAACATGTTGAACATATTAGCTTGCACAAACCATTTAATACTCAAATTCAATGTTGACCCCACAAATTTCAGTTTTCTCTTTCTTCTGTGAGTATGTTTGATCTGCTGCACAAGACTTTCGTGTATCATTCACAAGTCAGTTTTTTACACATGAAACCATTATGTTTCTGAGCATGCTGTTTTTAATTAATTTTTAATTGTGGGTACCACTTTTATTAATATTCCAAAGACTTTTATTGGAATATTATTAAAATGAACATTTAAAAATTTAATTGTAAGATCGGTAATCTGAATCTTACTGATGTAGGCAGTGTGAATGATTCACCTTGCTCAATATTCAGTGGACATTTATATTAATTTATGTTTCTATATATTACAAAGTTCTGGCATGAAACACTAGATGGCGCAGTCCAATAGATCTAACTCAATATGACATAATGACATCATTATCACATGGCACCAAATTTGAAATGTAATGCAGGGAATTCTGGGAATGTCAATTTGCGGTTATTCACTGTAAATTATACGTTTTTTTTCACTTCCAAAAACGGTATACTACCATAAAATTAATGTCCAATACATGTAATGTCCAATACAGTTTTTCACCGTATATAGTAGGGGAATTTACCGTTAACCATTTAACAGGTTTTTACTGTAGCATT